TTGCTCTATGCATTTGGTGAAAACAGTCTCCTTGATTAATCCCATGAACTATATCGATTAGGAAGAAGGACTGAAATTAATCTGTAACAGCAGCTCGTTTGTTCTACTTACGGACGACGATAATTGTTACCTCCCTGAAAGATCCTCCTAGAACTTTGAAGCCACCCACTGCTTCCCGCTGTGACCAGAAATTGCTTTTGTAGGAGACGCTGCATTTCTTTAGCTTATCTTCTTTGTTCAGTAGTCTAACCGAGTGCACTGTCCGCGTTTAGACGACTTTCCGTAGAATTCCTGAAGTCTTGCGTTTCCCCCCCCCCTTAAACCGTATCCGCTTAATGTGAGTTCCTTCTATCATTGGGGTAAACTTTGGCAAGCCACAAATTCATGTGTGATCGGCCGTTGGAACTCAGCTGTACGGGTAGTAAAGCCACGCAATTAGTTTGTTCATAGGGTATGTGTAAAATCCCTTCTGCAATTGCTTGTCGCATAGATCCCATAGGTTTTCAACCCATTAGCGTGCTGATTCCTAGACAATATCAAAAGAGTAAAATGATAAGGTGGGTTCGCTTTGTAAGTTTGTGTGGCCTCTGTCTTCAACTAAGTGGTCAGCCGCGTAGCTAGATTTTATTTAAAGAGTTGCACCTGATTAGTTACAGTGGGCTTTCCGGTGAAGCAGTGTCCCTGACTAGGTTTTGCCATCTTATTTACTGTAAATAAAGGTTATTTCGTCTGATATGTTCAAACGTACTTCGTTTGGTTACACCTGGGGCTTAGCAACTCAGTACTTTGAGGGACTTCCTAAAACCAGCGTTTTATACGCGGCTACGTAAATTAACCTTTCCCGTACAAACAAACTTATTCACCTTATGGATGTTTCTTCTCATCAGAGCTGGAGCTTATTACACACAGAATCAGCAAGGCCCTCGGCAAAATGCATTCATTGGCAAATTAGGTTGCTATTGATGGAGAACGTCTGAATCCAAGCTGAGGATCTCGTTTGTGATATTCTTCAGCTGAATATCCTGTACAAAGACCACCTGTTGTTTTATTTGGTTTGGGTATTTCTATGTATCTTCTTGAAGGAAACTTCCACCAAGACAACTAGCAACCGGTTCCGCGCTTCCACTATAAGACTATCCGGTAGGCACAGTCCCTTAGATTCAATCAACCTTGCCACTGGATTGTACATAAATGGCCAATCAGATTAACTTGAAAATTAAATTGGTTTTAACGGGGGATTGAACAAAATTATGGCTGGACGAGAAATCACGAGACGATAATATATTCTTGCAGCCTCATATTGAGGTTACTTCAGTCTACGTAGGACAGAGAACAAACACCATCTGCATGATTTTCTCCAATTTTAGAGTTAAAGGAATACCAAACTTAAAATTTAATATCCTACAATGCAAAAGGAACCATTCCCAACATTTTGGGATACAATTAAGGTAGACGATCAGCTCACTCACCGTGAGACAGATTATATATTATATACAATATAGTATAACAATATATAATATAATATAATATAAT